AGTTCACTTTAAAATTGTTGATTTTGGAGGGCAAAGGTCGCAGTTCTGCAGTACAGCACTTGCCTAAGGTGGGAAGCCCTGGGTTCAATTGTCAGCAAGGCAAAAAAAAAAAAAAAAGAGTCTCAGAAATCCTGGGATCAAGGGTCAAGGGATGCATCCTACTGTGTCAGCCGCCAGATTATGGGCAAGTGGCACCACACCCAGCAAAAAGCCACTGGATAGATTTAGCAAGTCCTGTGTTAGATGGTTTCGACACCACTCTGGCCAACATCTGCCTCTTCTAATGTTGTATCAAGGTCAAGGAGTCTGGGAAGATTTTCTCATTTCTCCCAACTACAATGGAGGCTGAGGCAGGAGGATCGCAAGTTTGAGGCCAGCCTCAGCAACTTAGCAAGACCCTAAGCAACTTAGTGAGACCCTGTCTCAACATAAAACGAGCTGAGGATGTGACACTGGTTAAGTGCCCCTGGGTTCAATCCCCTGTACCAATTTTCAAAAATTAGTGTGTGTGTTCCCACACGCGCATGTGAGATGCTGGGGCCTCGCCTGTGCTGGGCAGGTGCTCTACAATGAGCCACACCTCTAGCCTCTGTGTCTAATTTATGAACTAAATTTTACCATAGGTATGTAAATATGGGCCAAATACAGTGTATTTGGGGCTTGGTCCCATCCACAGTCCACGCATCCCCAGGGGGCCGTGGGACATATTCTATGGATAAGGGGGACCACTGCCTAGGACAGAACCGAGCGTCCTGCTCTGCTCTCTCCCAGCCTGCCTACAGTCAGTTAAGGAAGAGAGGACAGCCTGGTGACCCAGGGTCCTGCATGGGGAGCTGGGCGCAGTGGCGCATGCCTCTCATCCCAGCCACTTGGGAGGCTGGATGATCATCTGAACCCAGGTGGGTCCTGGCAGGCTTGTGAGACCTCCTCTCAAAAAAGGGAGAGAAAACAAGGGCGCTCAGCAGGCAGGCAGCAGGAATGAAGCCGGTCCACAGTTAGCCCCTCCCGGGAGCATCCTGAGGGACAACGGGGCTGGGCAGGGGACTGTGGTCTTGTGTGTGCTGAGCACAGGCTGTGTGCCAGCACCTCCAGCCAGTTCTCCATTTTGCTTGGGGGAAGAAATGGCCAGAAGTCTTCTCCCTCCTGGAGCATTGGTGACGAGGAACCCGCCATATTGTATGTGGATAGATCTCTAAACAGCGTCGGGGGAGATGATATTTGAGTCCCAGGAGAATCACTGCTCACCAATGGGTGACATATCAGAGGAGGATTTTATTTTTATTTGGTTATTTGTATGGGGGGGACGGGACATTGAACCCAGGGGTGCTCAACTGCTGAGCACATCCCCAGCCCTTTTTTCACTTTGAGATAGGGACTCCCTAGGTTGCACAGGCTGGCCTTGAACTTGTAATCCTCCTGCCCCAGCCTCCAGCTCACTAGGATTATAGATGAGCACTATCGTGCCTGCAGAGGTGGATTTCAATCAAGTGGACAGGATGATCTGGTTTGGACAGACAACTCAGCCTCTCTCCCCAGCCGCCCTCCTGCTGCCCACAAGGGAGGTCACCATTAGCCATTTGGCCTGTGTTCTCGCACTCTGGTCTGACCACCATCGCGGCAGCTCAGGATTTCTGAGTGGCTCCAGTGGGCACACAGGGCACAGGCTCCTCCCCATATCCCAGAGGCCCCTTGTGCGGCCATGTCTCAGGTAGGAAGCTCTGGGCCCTGCTGGAGGCCAGGAAAGACCTGGCAGCCTCTTCCCACTGAGCATCCTTACAGCTTCTGACCACCCGGAACAAAGCTTGGGAACTTGCTTTAAAAAAAGAAAATGAGGTAAAATTCACATATATAAATATCCAAGTAGCATACGATTTGCATAACATTTGCATAACAATACCATATGATCTCACTTACATATGGAATCTAAAAAAGTCAAATTCATAGAAATAGTATCTGAAGCTGGGGGTGGAGGGAATGCGGACATGTTGGCCAAAGGACCCAAAATTTTCAGGCAGCAGGAATAAATTCAAGAAATCTACTGCACGTCAGGATGACAACAGTTAACAACAATGTGTTGTAGGTGGCCCACACCTGTCATCCCAGCAACTCAGGAGGCTGAGGCAGGAGGATCAAAAGTTTGAGGTAAGCCTCAGCAATTTAGGGAGACAGGTCTCAAAATCAAAAAGGCTTAGGTGTAGCTCAGTGTGTGTGCCCGGGGGGGAACCGACGGATGGACACCACTGAGCCCCAGCCCCAGCTTTTCTGATATTTTATTTAAAGACAGGGTCTCGCTGAATAGCTGAGGGTCTGCTAAATTGCTGAGGCTGGCTTTGAACTCGCGATCCTCCTGCCTCAGCCTCCAGAGCTGCTGGGATGACAGGCTAGGGCCCCCGGGCCCACAGGCTGGGCGAGTGCTCTCGCCTGAGCTCCAGCCCCAGCCTCCTCGGGTGTGTCTTGCGCGGGGGACTCCTGCGCCACCGCACACCTGGACGGTAGCAGGCGCACGGGCTCAGGGTCCAGCCTCCCTCCGGGAGCGCGGCCGCAGCCTCCGGCCTAAAGATGCCGGCTCTCGACGGCCTCCCTCTCCCTCGCCATTTCCGGCCTCCCCGCTGGCTCGAGCCCGGAGCGAGCCTCCCCCGCGGGGAGCGCGGCCAGGGGAAGGGGTCGGAGCCGTGGCTTCCAGGGCCGCGGCCGCTGGGGACGGCGGAAAGGCGGAGGCTGGGAGGGTCCCGCACCCCGCTCCCTCCCCGCCGGCAGCCGGGTGAGTCACGCTTCCCGCCGCCGCTCGGGTGGCCCTGGAGGGCGGAAGGCGGGCCCTCGCCCACTCGGCCTCGGGGGCTCCTCCCGCCCACGGCCCCGGGCTCACGCCCAGTAAATCCGAGGCGGGGCCGCGGCTCCCCACGCCCTCCCGCTTCGGGGCCACCACCGCCACCTCCCACCCTGGGAACCAGGAAGGAGGGAGAGGACAAGCTGACTCCACCCGCCGGAGGCCGCCCGGCACCCCTCTCCCCAGGCACCGGGCTGTGCCTGGCCTTGCTGACCACTCCCCAGGTGCCTGAACCTGCCAGTCACCCCCGCCACCAACACCGGAGCCCTGCCCAGGCTCCGAAAGCCCTGGGAAAGCCGGCTTGCCTGTGATCCCAGAGCCCGGGAGGCTGAGACCGGAGGATTGCAAGTTCTAGGTCAACCTTGGAATTTCGGAGGCCTAAGCGACTTGGCCAGACCCCGTCTCAAAATAAATAAATAAAAAGGGCTGGGGATGTGGGTCACTGGATCTAACCCGGGTTCAATCCGTGAGAGAGGGAGTCAGGGAGTGGGGGGCAAAGAAAGAGAGGCAGGGTTACCTCTGAGTTGGCACAAGTGTGCTGAAGCAGGACACCCACCTCAGCTTCCAGCAACATGGGGAGACACCTTTGCTTGTCACAGTGGTGGCTAAAGTTGGACTTGCAGTTTGAGGCCAGGAAAACTGTCCCCCCACCCCCCACACTGGGGATGGAATCCAGACTTGGCACTCCCCTGGGCGAGCACTCTACCCCTGAGCTGCAACCCAGGGGTTGAAATCAGGGGCACTCAACCACTGAACCCCATCCCCAGCCCTCTTTTGTATTTTATTTACAGACAGGGTCCCACTGAGTTGCTTAGCAGCTTCACAGTTGCTGAGGCTGGCTTTGGACTCGCAATCCTCCTGCCTCAGCCTCCTGAGCCACTGGGATTACAACTTGTGCCACCATGCCTGGGTCCCCAGCCCTTTTTAATTTTTCTTTTGAGACAAGGTCAAAGTTCTCCAGGCTAGCCTCAAACTTGCGATTCTCCTGCCTCAGCCTCCAGAGTCACTGGGATTCCAAGTGTGCACCCCCACGCCCGCTATTACTGTCATGCATAATCCCTCAGGCAAGGGCTGGGGGATTGAGTGGTACAGCATTTGTTGGGCCCTGGGTTCCATCCCCAGCACCACCACCAACTCTCTCTCTCTTTCTCTCTCTCTCTCTCTCTCACACACACACACACACACACACACACACACACACACGTTAAATAATTAAATCTCAGGCTCCCAGACCCATGGATCCAAATTCAAATCTGGCTCTTATCAGCTGAACTTGGACAAGGGTCGCAACACCCTTCAACTCAACTTGGGCTTCTCAATGGCTCAACTGCTTGTCTGGGCTGGGGAGGAACTGAGCTTCTGAGCTCACAGTGGTGACATACGCCAGGGACACTGAGGCCCCGAGGAAATGCTGAGCGACTACAAACTGAGCAGAAAAACCCAAGTGACTGAACTTGGAAGTGCCGCAGCCTGGAAGGGGCAGTAAGCAGCTACATCATCCTTTTTCTGGGTGCCACTGATGTCACTGTACCACGGCAGGGTGCACTAGGGACAATAGGAGTTGGAGGGGTTATGGGAGGAAGTGGCATTGACATCAGCAGGAGGGAGAGTGGCCTCCATCATGCCCGCATGGGGCATGGGTTGGCCTGGCCGCCAGAGGTCTGGGGGCAGTGGTTGGCAGAAAGGACATCAGGAGCACCCATTCTAGCTGAGGCTCTGTCCCCAGAATTTATTGCCAGCTGCAGAAGGGGAGCCACCGGGAGCAGGGGGTCAGGGTGAGGGTTATCCCAGGCCTCGCCACCTGCAGCCACCTGAGTGGGGGGCAGAGCTTCCCAGGAGCCCCATGTGGTGTGTGAGTGGCCTGGGGACACACTGGGCTAGACGCAGTGGCTTAGGTGTGGGGGAGGCCAAGCCTGCTCATCCAGTCTGACCGGAAACACGAGCTCAAATTTGTGATACCAGGCCAGGGGGGTGGATCATGGCTCCAGCCTTCCCAGCTTCAGGGACGGGGCGGCTGAGTCACAGTGGAACTGCTGAGGGGGAGGGCTATGTGTGTGCCCTGCCCCTCGCCCCCAGGGAGGTCTGGAGGTTTATGAGAAGAAGGGACAAGTCCAAGAAGGGAAGGGACCAGGGCGGGGGCCTAAAGCAGTGACGCTTTTTCTCACAAGGTTCACATGGAGCCAGGTGCAGAGGCGCAGCCTGTCATCCCAGTGACCCAGGAGGCTGAGGCAGAAGGACCACCAGTCGGAGGCCAGCCTGGGCAACGTAGTGAGACCCGGTCTCAAAATCAAAAGGGCCGGTGGTGTGGCTCAGTGGTTAAGCATCCCTTGGTTCAGTCCCCAGGACCAAATACACAGAAAAACTTTCATGTGACACAGGAATCTTCAGAATGATGAGTGAAGACCCAGGAAAGCAATTTATTCGCAGGCCTTGGGCTGGGGAAGAAAGGAGAGTGGTGCCGAGCGCGGTGGTGCACACCTGTAATTCAAGCCGCTCAGGAGGCCGAGGATCGCGAGTTCAAAGCCAGGCTCAGCAATTTTGCAAGGCCCTAAGCAACTTAGGGAGACCCTGTCTCTAAGTAAAATATTTTAAAAAGGGCTGGATGTGTAGCTGAGTGGTTAAGAGCCCCTGGCTTCAACCCCAGGAAGGAAGGAAGGAAGGAAGGAGGATAGCAGTATGCCAACGCGACTAGACAAAACGAGAACAGACTGAGGGGTGCAGACTCGTCTTGGCATCTCTGTGCAGCTCTCTTCCTCCGGGACGTGGGGCAGGACCCTCTGCAATGGACCCTCTGCAATGGGGGTCTCCGAGGGAGAATGGGTTTAGTTTGTCTCTTGATTGCAGTAGCTGCGGATGGGGCGGATGGGGCGCAGGGCCCCAGGGACGCTAGACTGCCCCGCCGCTGCGCTCACCCCAGCCCAGGAGAAGAAAGGGCCTCCTTCCAGGTTCCGTGGCTGGCGTTAGGGGAGAGGAGTTCTGGTTCCTGGGACCCGCTGGGGGTGAGGAATTCTGAGTCCTGTGACTTACTCGGGTGAAGGGCTAGAGAGAGGCTGGGTGTGGTGGCTCATGCCTGCAATTCCAGTCTGGGGATGGGGACCGCAAGGCAGGAGCAAGGAGTGCCATAGTTGGGGGGATCAAGTTCTGAGTCCCAACATAAGAGGGAAACTGAGAATGCGAGGGTGTTTGCAAATGTGGAAGTGCCCGGAACCGCTTCCCCTCTCCCACCAGCAGAGCAAAGCACAGCCCCGAGGTGAAGGCTGCGGGCCAGGGTGGGGCTCAGCGGGGAGCCCTCGCCTAGCAAGGAGGGGCCCTGGGTTCCATCCCCAACACACGAAGAGAAGAAAAGAAGAAAGAATTCAGGGCTGAAAGAAAGCTGTGCTGTGCCCTTCTGAACTGGCTTCATGGCCACCACCCTCCCAGGGGACTTCCTCCTCCCCAACCCGACAGCACAGTTGAAAATTCCAGTAGCTGTTTATAAGGCAGCATCTGCAGGGATTCAGCAGGTACCTGGGGGACACCAGGAATGTTGGCTGCTTCTCTCCACACTGCCCCAAGGGGGGACAGGGCTCCAGGAGCTCCCTGTCCACCCCAGGCTAACCTGAGTCTGAGAGCTGCAGCCGGCAGGGACCTGGTGGTGAGTAATGGCAGGGTCACTTCAGCCTTTCTGGAAGAGCAGGACATAGACAGGGCCAGGAGAGAAGAGAGGGACCTCAGGTGAGGCTGGTGGGCAGGGTGGCAGCCGGGGCTCAGTGGCTGGACAAAGCCCAAGCCCCTAGGGCCTCTGACACGCCATCCTGGGGTCCTCCAGACCCGCCCTCCCCTCTCTCAGGTCTAAAGGGCGAAGCGATGAGCCATTTCATTTCCTGTGTGCTCAGCCAGGCTGGGCTGGCCCCAGACACCAGCCAGGAGGGGGTGGGGCAGGAGCAGCCGCCTTTCAATTTTCTTTTTCTTTTCTTTTTTACTTTGCAGGCCTGGGGATGGAGCCGAGGGCCTCACACCAGCGAGGCCGCACCCCCAGCAACGGCAGTTTGGTTTTTCTCTGTAAATAGTGAGCATCTCAACAACCAATTTTGTCTTCATCAAGCCCCAGGGCTGAGCACGCACAAATTGGAAACTGGGGAAGTTTTCACCCTGTGGAAGGGAAAGAAAAAAAACACAGCCACTCAACAAGGAACCTGAGAAACCCGTGAGTGGAAGGCAGAAAAGGCGGAGAAGGGCGGGGGTGGAAGAGAACCCTCAGCCCCAGCCCCCCCCTGCTTTCCTTATCTGAGGATCAGAGACTGGGCTGGAGCTAAAGTCCACTGGCCAGAACAAAGATTCCTACTCCCTCCCCACCCCCAAAGCAGAAGAGGAAAAAAAAAAAAAGACCTTGTCTTTACTGGATGTGTGATCTGGACACATTGCTTAATCACTTTGTGGTTTAGTTTCCTCATCTGTGAAATGGGACTAATGACTGCCTGTTGCAGTCTGGCTGGGCACAAAATAACCCAGCCGCCACGAGGCACTTGTAGGTTCAAACAGGAACTACTTTATTGCCCGAACTCCACCAGCACTCCACCTGCACTCCCCGGGAACTCTCCCTGCCCTCAACGTGGCTCCGAGAGAACTCAACGGGAACTCCGGAGAAGGAGAGGGAACTCCGGAGAAGGAGAACTCGAAAGTAGCGGGCGCCCGAGGCAGCAGGAGCCTCCCTATTGCGGGACAGCAGGGGTCTATATACAACGGAATACACAGCCCGTTTCAATCCAGCATCATCCAGTCACAGCAATTATACACAGCTTAACTTAATTATCATCATCTTAATGGCTCGCTGGCATCACCTCTCAACCACTCCTTCTGGCAAAATGCCAGGCGACTCGGCTGTGGCTCTCAACAACTGCCAGGTGTGGTGGCACATTCCTGTAATCCCAGGAGCTAAGGAGGCTGAGGCAGGAGGATCAGGAGTTCAAAGCCAGCCTCTGCAACTTAGTGAGGCCTTGTCTCTAAATAAAAAGGTGTAGAGCTCAGTGGTAAAGCACCCCTGGGTTCAATTTGCAGTAACAACAAAAGTCTTCGGGTATAAGATTTGTCTGGTCTGTCAGTCACTAATCAGAAGCCCCCAAGGTAGATGTTGAGATATTAGGGCCCTCCTGAGGACCCAGAACTCTTCTGAGAGCACTTCTCAGGCTGGCTTTGTAAACAGAGGGGACACAGCAGCCAATTCCCCTGCATGGCTCCCCAGTGCTCCAAGGACCGCAAACTATTGCTAAGGTTTCTGGTCTACTCTGGTCCCTGAGGGAGGTCCTGGACTCCGTGGACTTTTTTTGTTTTCCCCCAGTACTGATGCTGGAACCCAGGAGTGCCTTACCCCTGAGCTACATCCCCAGCCCTTTATTTTCTTCTGAGACAGGGTCTCACTGAATTGATTAAGCCAGCCTTGCACTTGCGATCCGCCTGCCTCACCCCCCTGAGTCGCTGGGGTTGCAGGTGTGCACCACCCCACACCTGGCTCATTTTTGGAGACAGGGTCTCTGGCTAGCTGGCTCGGGCTTCCAGTCCTTCTGTTTCATTCTCCCAGGTAGATGGGATCACTGGTGTGAGCCACGGTGCCCGGCCCCCTTGCACTCCTGCCAAGTCCTGGGGAGAACTCCCCCGTCAGGGGAAACTGAGGCGGAAGGCAGCCCGGGGAACTGGCACCAGCGGGGAAGCCCTGAGGAGAACCTTGGCAAGTTTTCTAGAGCAAATGAGGATTCCACCTGGGGCTCCCGGTCTGCCTGCCCCAGGGCAGTCCTGCCCTCCCATCTGGGCTGCACAGCCTTCAGCAACACAGGGACAGGAGCAAGCCCATCCTCCTTCCTGGAGGGAGGGTGCTGGTGTGGTGGCATTGTCTGTACCCAGAGGCTCCAAGGCCGAGGTAGGGAGATTGCCAGGTGGAAGCCAGCCTGGCAAGACCCTCCTGTCTCAAAATACGAGGGGAGGGCCGCTCAGTGGGGCGCTGGCTGGGCCTGCGGGGGGCCTGGGCTCAGTCGGGGTGGGGGCTGCCCCTACCTCACTGCTAATCGCTTTCACAAACTGGACGGGAGCCCTGGAAGGAGAGAGCCTGTTAGCTTCGGTCACTCCCCGGGTGCCCCCTCCCCCAACACGGCTGGGCCACGAGATGCTCCCCCCGGGGCACCTCGGGGGAAAGGGTTAACAGGAAGCGCCTGGCGTCCTGCAGCCACAGAAGCTCCATTGTTCTCCAGCCTGTCCCTTCCCCCTCATCCAGGAAGACCCTCCGGGGAGCCCCTTCAAAGGGGCCAAGCACTGTCTCTAGGCTGCAGCCCAGCGGGCCCGGGGCAGAGACAGGAAAAGGAAACCGGCCGGTGCGGGCGGGCCGGTGGGGGTGGGGTGCAGCTGTCACTGCGGGGTCTCGGGGGATTTCCGAGGAAGGGGTGTTCCGCCCTGCACACCCCTGGGGGCGGGGCAGGCCTCCCGGCAGTCCCCATCTGGAAGCCAGAAGGCTTTGATCTCGGCTTTTAGGTACCGGCCGGCCTCCCGCCTCTCCGCTCCCCCTCCTGCAAACATCTCTGGGTCCGAAAGTTTCAGGCACGCACGCCCCTCCGCCTGATTTCGCCTCTCCCCGCCGCCCCGGTCAGCTTGTTCCGATTAGCCGACTCGGGTGGGGTGGGCTGGATCTGGGGGTGGGCTCAGCGAGGAGAACTGTTAGCAATTCCCCGGGAGCCTCCAGGGGCAGACAGGCCGAGGGTGAGCAGCTGGCGACCAGATGTGGATGGACAGGCAGAGGAGGAAATTAATTGGTGCCAGTCGGCGGGCGGGCGGGCTGGGCAGGCAGGACCCCTGGGGACTGGCCAGCCGCCGGGGTGGAGGAGGGGTGGGGGGACGCGGAATGCCGGGATCGTCCCCCAGAGTCAACCACACGCTGGGGGACCGGGCTGGCCCGGAGGCTGGGGAAATAAAAAGGGCGGGGAGGGCCGTGGGCCTGGACCCTGGAGGACTTCCGCGGAGAGGAACTCCTCTCTGGACCAGGGGGACCTCAGCTCCCCTCAACAGAGGTGGGTGGCGTCACCCCCGGGGCGGAGCCTCAGGAAACAGATACGAACGGTCCCAGGAAGAGCGCCCCTGGGAACCGGCGAGGTCGGGCCCCCCGGACACATGTCGGGGCTCCGGCGGCTGCAGGCTGAAGTAGGTAGCGGGAGGCTCCAACTCCCGCGAGCCCCATTCCCACTAGGCCATCTGCGTGACTGAGCCGAGCCCGCTCCCGGCCCCCGCGAGGTCCCGGTCCCCCGGCTCCGCCGCGCCCGCAAGCTCCGCCCTCGTATTCGTGGGGCGCGCGGAGGGAGGGGGACACTAGACTGCTGAGGGACCGAGCCGAGCCTGGAGGGTCTGGGCAGAATCCGGAAGGGACCGGTTTGCGGCGGAGAGGCGGGGCCCAGGCGACCGCCCACGCTGAGAGTTCCTGGAAGTCGCCGGTGGCAGCGCGCAGGGGCGGGGCGCCGAGGAGAGCGCGAGACCCGGCGAGGGCACGCCCCGCCCCTGGCGTGAGGGACACGGTCGCCCCGCCCCGCACGCCGGCCACTTACCCCACCCTCGCGTCCCGTCGCCGCTCAGATGTCCACGCCGAGATCAAGTTCCCACCCGGCCGAGGCCCGCTTTGTCCCCGCCTAGGGGAGGTGGAACAGGGTCCCGGAACTCGGTAAACCGGTCTGGGTACTTCTGTGCTGGTCCCCACCTGCGGCCTGGCCCTTTCCCAGTCCCGAAAAGACTGGCCCTTGCTTTTTAAAATGATTCTTCTTTCAGTGCTGTGGGTGGACATCGAACCCCGGGCCAGCTAAGCCCGCGCTCCGGCCACTGAGGACTTCGGTTTCCCCATCTATATATTTATATTTTTAAAATTGCACATTAGAAAGGTTGCAAATGTATCATTCATTCACAAGGTCGCTTAAGCACCTGCTAGACTCAATCCCTGCCATCCTGGAGACCTCAGGCTAGGAAACAAACCAAGAAACCAACAGAAAAGTGTAGTCATTATTACACACACACACACACACACACACACACACACGGCCACGTGGTGCGGTGGCGCCATGCCTGTAATCCCAGCTGTTCAGGAGTCTGGAACATAAATTCGAGGCCAGCCTGGGTAATTCAGAGAGACCATGTCTCAAAGTTCTAAAACGGCTGGGGATGTACTCGGTGGTAGAGCACTTGTTTAGCATGTGAGGAGGCCCTGGGTTCAATCCTCAGTGCAGGGGTGGGGGGATTTCTTAGTGTGTGTGTATGTGTGTGGGGGTGCTGGGGATTGAACCCATGGCCTTGTGCCTGTGAGGCAAGCACTCTACCAACTGAATTATATCTCTAGACCCCAAATTTCTCAATTTGAGTGTCAATAAATACAGAGATCATGGACCAAGATGGCAGGGGTGGGGGTGCAGACAAACCCCAAGGTTTTTGCCCTTTGAGCTGAGCTGATTTAACAAGGTGCACAGGCTGGGGATGTGGCTCAAGCGGTAGCGCGCTCCCCTGGCATGCGTGCGGCCCGGGTTCGATCCTCAGCACTATGTACAAAGATGTTGTGTCCACCAAAAACTAAAAAAAAAATAAATATTAAAAAAAAAGTTCTCTCTCTCTCTCTCTCTCTCTCTCTCTCTCTCTCTCTCTCTCTCGCTTAAAAAAAAAAGACCTATTTAACAAGGTGCACAGAGGCGGAAAAGAGACTGAGGAGGTCACAGCACATACAAAGCTCTTGTGGCTGGAATGATGGAGGAAGTATTGGAACATAACACAGGACAGTGTTACAAGGAGGTGATTTCAGGTTATTGCAGAAGTAGGCTGGGTCTAGATCAGGCTGGCTCTTACCTATAACGACCTAGGGGTTTTTTTGGTACCAGGATTGATCCCTGGGGCACTTAACCATTGACTGGCATCCCCAGCCCTTCTTTTTCTTTTTCTTTTTTTTAAAGAGAGAGAGAGAGAGAGAGAGAGAGAGAGAGAATTTTTTTTAATATTTATTTTTTAAATAAATATTATTTTTAAATAATAAAAGGCGGACACAACATCTTTGTTTGTATGTGGTGCTGAGGATCGAACCCGGGCTGCACGCATGCCAGGCAAGCGCGCTACCGCTTGAGCCACATCTCCAGCCCCCCCAGCCCTTCTTATTTTTTATTTTGAGGCAGGGTCTTGCAAAGTTGCCTATGGTCCCGCTAAATTGCTCAGGGCCTTTCTAAATTGCTGAGGCTGGCTTTGAACTTGTGATACTTTTGCCTCAGCCTCCCAAATCCCTGAGAATACAAGCATGTGCCACTTGACACAATTATATAGTATCCGTGTGTGTGTGTGTGTGTGTGTGTGTGTGTGTTGGGAATCAAACCCAGGGCCTCTGTGTGTGCTTTACCAACATAGCTACACCTCCCAGCCCCAGATTTCAATGTTTTTTAAATGACTTGGCATTGAATCCCTCAGTCTCTTCCTGTTTCAGTATGCTGTCCATATCCTTGGTAATGATGTGTCTTTATCACTTGCTAATCTCAGACAAAAAAAAGCTACCTGCAACATCAGACTGGCTACTGTATCTGAAGGATTTTACAACAGTTTTGTTTACATTGTAACTTAAAAGAAATGTTACAATCTGAGCATGGAGTGTGATTAAAAATTAAATCAGAGATAAATGTTAAGTAAATAATAGTAGAGCTATAAAGCAGATGAGAAAGATCCAGACCCTCAACCCCCAGAAGTTTGGGACTTTTTTTTTTTTGTGTGTGTGTGTGTGTGTGCTGGGGGATTGAAACCAGGGGCACTGAATCACTGAACTTCATGCCCATACTTTTTATTTTTTATTGTGAGACAAAGTCTAAGTTGTCTAGGCTGGCCTTGAATTTGCAGTCCTCCTGCTTTGGCCTCACAAGTAGCTGGGATTACATGTTTGCCTGACTGGGAGATTGGGAGCCGCAGGGAAGCCACAGGTTGAGTAAATCAAGTACTTAGTGGGCGGGACATGGGGCTGGACGTTGGTGGGACTGGCTGAGTGGGGGTATAGAA